TCTTCCCACCATCACTCCGATTTCCAGCTGCAACTGCCCTTTTTGCTCCCCTCTTTTCCTTGACACTTGCCTGTTGACAGCCTCAGACAGGTAACACACGTGGCTTTTTGTCTCCCTGTGATACTCGCAGTTGTCACCAATCGTGGAGTTAAACGTTGGCGGAGAGATGTACACAACAACACTGAGCACCTTAAAGAAACACCCTGGCTCCAAGCTGGCAGAGATGTTCACCGGCCAGCCCAAACTCAGGACTGATTCCGAAGGCAGGTTCTTCATCGACAGGCCAGGCACCTACTTCAAATACATCTTGGAGTATCTGCGTAGTAACCAAGTGCCCACCCAATGCATCCAAGACGTCTACAAAGAGGCGTTGTTCTACGACATCGAACCTCTAATCAAGCAGCTGGAGGACTCGCCACAGATCTTCGGGGAGCTCGTGGCGAGGAAACAGTTTCTGGCCCGCGTGCCCAACTACAGCGAGAACATCGAGCTGATGATCCGCATCGCCAGGGCCGAAGCGGTCGCGTCCCGCCGGTCCGGCGTCATCGTGTGCGTGGTCAAAACCGAGGAGGATGCGGCCAGATGCCAGGATGCCTTGAACAGCTTGGACACGGATAAAAAATCCGTGGTGAAGTTTGGCCCCTGGAAGGCAGCACCGAGTATTGTCGATCTGCTGGACTGCATCCAAATGGATGTCGAAGCCAAAGGGTATAAAATATCCTTTCAGCCCCACGTCGCTGAAAAAGGTTTTCGCTTCAAATCACACGATTTCTTCTACAAATTCCTGTTCACCTGGTGGTAGAACGCGTCACAGCCAATGGGGAATGGAGGAAGGCGATTATTAAAACAAATTAACTTTGGCCGTGGAGACCAAGCCTTGGACTACCAGAGGGGCAGAAAAAAATGCATGGGCCGATGCAAGGATCTTCCCTGGTCATTTGCCAAATTAAAGAGCACTTAAGAGACAGTTTACTTGAGCTTTTGGGGATAACTGTACGATTTAAAAGGTACGATAAAAAGACAGAATTTTCCTCTTTCGGTGTTGCTGACTATTACATAAGTTCGGAGAGCCAGATCTGAGGGTTGAGTCAACCTCGCTCGACCTAAGAGAAACGAGTAACCCCAAATAAATATTGTGGACACGTGGAGCTGGTCTCTCAGTGAAACGAGAACAGGTCACACAGGTGCACAGCTCCCGATGGGAACGCTGTTGGCTGCAGTAACACACAGTCTAATTAAATTTCATCCCTAACAAGAGAGCCAAAGCTCCTTTACTCGCTGTTTTTTATACCAGAAAGTAGAATTCAGTGGCCCTGCTCTCTTCCTTCCTTCAGTAGATGCCTACTCTCTAGCCAATTACCATATTTTTTTTTATTACCGTTATTTATTATTCATTATGAAGGAAAGACAGAGAGTCTCAGCTATGGTCCAGGAGAAACAAAAGGCAAAAGTACCACTGCTCATGTGAGGAGCTTATAATGTGAGGACACGCACACTTCTCTCTCAGGCCACATGATTTTAATCTGTTCCTTAGGACACTCATTACTGTTATGATACTATTTCTGAAAGTAGAAGCTTTTGGAAGAATAGGGAAAATCCGCCATGATGTGAAGAGAAGGAAGTGCTACCCAAGTGACAGCCTGGGACCTCAGTGCAAATTCTCCTTTACAGAACATGAATTAAGTCCTACATTGCATTTAAATAATCTCAGTATTTGAAAGTTTATTTTTATACTGGAGATGGCTGTTAGCTTGGTTTTAACCACTCTGAAAGTCATAGTGGCTAATCTGATTATGATCACGTTTCCTTTACTTCTCAGAAGATACATTTCTTCCAGCTAAGGACAATAATCTCTGGGTTGTTAAATAAATAACTTCTAAAAGCTCTTTGAATGATACAAAAGTGCTTTATTTACTGACATCTTCCTCAACTCTCCAGCCCCCAAATTCTAAAGATCTTAAGTCTTGCCTTTCTGCTAACAGATTCGAACCAATCCTACTTAAGCTTGGTTTCGGATGTGCTCAGCAGAGCACAGATTTCCCCCAGCGAACGTCAGGACTTGCACCACCAACCTCAGGGCAGTTCTGTTGTAGGGGTAAGGAGACTCTCTGAGACCTCTCGCATTCATAACCTTGGTAAGAACTGACATAACCAGCGTCTGAGAAGGCAAAAAGATTCAAAAAATAGGGTCTGTGATCATACCTGTGATTGTAACCAAGTGGTCGGTGGTGCTGAGCCTGGAAAGGGGGAGACTGAGGAGGCTTTCAGATAGACAGAAGGCAGCTTTAAGGAGGTGATCAGTAGGTCCTAAGGGTGGAAGAAGGTGTACCTGGCTTAAGTCACAACCAAGGAGAGTGAAATTAGATATTAGGGAGAAAAAAATTTGATTATAGGGTAGTTAAAGCTTCAAACCAATGAACCTCCTATGACTACAGGACTGCTGTCATGAGAAACTCTAATAATTTTATCACGGATGGTCTCGTAGAACAGGCTGGAAGGGACCTCAGAGGATCATCTGGTCCAGCCTCTGGTGGGAAAGGGAGCCTGGATGAGATTTTCAAGCACCCTGTCCCACCACATCTTGAAAACCCTTGGTGACGTGGATGCCACCACATGCCTAGGGAGCTTGTTCCAGTGAATGATGGTTCTCACTGTAAAAAAACTATTTCTTATATTGAGAGGAAAATTCTCGCAGTGCAACTTGCACTCATTGCCCCTTGTCTTCTCCACATGGCTCCTTGTGAAGATAAGAGACTCCATCCTCTTTGTGGACGGCCTTTAGGTACATCCTAGGACCTTGGAGTCCCCGTGGGCAGGGAGTGTC